TGATAGATACTCCATGTAGCCAAACTTCCTGGAAGAGGTTCAGATCAACTGCCCTGCCTAGAAGAGACAGTCTGGGACCCCTTGAGCTACGTGTAAGTCATTCATTAATCATCAGGGTTAACCCATGCTTTTGGGAGTGCTCTCAGTGATGCAGCTATATTTGAGTCCTTTCTGTTCCTGATAATGCCCTATCACCCTTACTCCTGTAAGTAACCTTACTTTGATTTGTTGTTCCCTATCTGGGGTGAGTAGATCTTCACATTTCCCCAAGACTAGGGTCAAACAACAGCTGGCCTTAAAATTGAGGTCTCCATGCCTCAGTACTGAGGGGCTGGTATCACACAGGACTGAATCAGCATGCCTAGCAGAGGCAAAAGGCTTGAAGGACTGTCCCGCACACCCAAGCAAGGTGAATGTGGAAGGAAACCTTGCACTTCCCCTTCCCTCCTTCCTAAACCACAGAATACACACTGAAGCTAGCTAGCCACCAAGGTCTAGTCCCTTATTTGATCACCCCCCCCCCTCCCCCCAAGGCTTACTGCCTTGGTCCAGCTATCAAAGTATTGAAATCCAGCAATCAAAAGCCCTCTTTTGGCTCACCTCATTAACATACCCAATCAAAACAAAACCAAAACGCATCCTAACACAGGGTTTCCCCCTTTCCCTTTATAAATTAGCATTTGCCCATGGGCCTGGCCTGTTTCCTCTCTGTCCTCCAAGGCAAATGTCCCTTCTTCCTCTCTTCTTTCCTCTTCTTCCTCATTCTCAACCTCCTGTCTTTTCCCTCATTCTCTGCCCTCTGTCCCTCTGGTCTTGGTGTGTCCTGTGCTGATTTTGGTCCTTTCTAGACTTACTTAGGACTAACTCACTGGTGCCGTTTCACCTTCCTTTCCAATATACAGAGGCTAAGAGATGCCTCAGCATTAAGAGCTTTCTTCTCTTGCAGAGGACTTGAGTTCAGTTCCCATCACCATGTGGGAGGGAAAGAGAGAGTTTATAAGTGTGGGGGCCAGCCATGGTAAGCTTAAGTATGGGCAAGTTACCCAAAGGAAGTTTTTTTTACTTCCAACAATTATCAAATGGGACTCTGGCCATTGATAAATTTAAATGGAGGCCCGAGTCTCAGTAGTTTACCCTGAGGCAATGTCTGGCTGCAGGAGGAACCACAAGCTGAGTTACCTGATCCCCACCCAAGAACTGACCATTCAAAGGAAATGCCTGGCATTCCAACCGCTGTAGATAGGAACACCTGCCAGGGCACAGTAACCAGGACACCCTAGACAAATGTCAGCCAATCAGGGGTCTTAAAACCTCAGAGTCCCCTCACCCTCACTTTTACTACTATAAAACCCTATTCTAATTGAGCTCCGGGCGGCTCTCCGGTTATTCCAATACGTTGGAGAGACCGAGTTTGCAAACTTGGTTAAAATAAAGGCTCTTTGCTTTTACATATGGGACTCGGTTTCCTTGTTGGTTTTTGCGGGGACTTCACAGATTTGGGCATAACATTAAGCACATGCAACTTCCAGCTGCAAAAGATGGAATGCCCTTTCCTGGCCTCCACAGGTACCACAGATGCACAGAAACACACACACAGGTGGAATGTAAAGACAGAATGGATTAATCCAGCCTAGCATTTCTTGTTATCAAAGTCTGAAAAGGAGATTTTGACAGACTGTTGATAGTTCTGGAATAATGGCTCTGGGTCGCCTTATGATTGATATGTTTCATTTTCAGACATGTTCTTCTAAGAGGCCACACACCCTCTCTCTGTGGAACCTGAAGAGAGTTTTTCTTTCTTATCCCGATGCATTTTTTTTCTTTATCCCCCAGGAGGCCCACGTTTTTCCAGGAGGCATTTGCAGTCTCTTCTGGCTCAGTTTCCCACTGTAACTCAGGGTCTGGGTCTTGGCTCTCTCAGCCTTTGGCTGGCTGGCTTCAAAGACCTTTCTCTGCTTGAGGACATCTCTGTCTAACTGAAAAGAGAAAGGAAATTTTAATCCATTCTTTTATTATTTATTTAACTTTTTCCACTTACTTTATGTAACAACCAGTTTATCCTCCTTCCTCTCCTGTTTCCTGCCCTCACCACTCCCATCTACCCCCTCCCCATCCAATCCTCCTCTGTCTCCACTCAGAAAGGGGCAGGCCAGTCTGTAATTTTATTAAATATTTGTTTTGTTTTTTTGAGACAGGGTTTCTCTGTAGTCCTGAAATCCACTATGTTAGACCAGGCTGACCTCAAACTTGGAGATTCGTCTGCTTCTGACTCCCAGGTGCTATGATTAAAAGTGTGCACCACCACTCCCCAGCTCTTTTAAGTATTTATAGAAAAATAATTGTAAAGGTTTAATAAAAAGAAAAAAACTGTAAAGGATGAAGGATTATGAAGCTTTTCCCAGCAGTGAGATCTGGACTTTGGGTTAAGTCTCTGATGCTATCTATGCCTTGTTTGTTTTGAAACAGGCGTGGAACTAGCTCTGTAGACCAGGCTGTCCTTAAACTCATAATGACCTGTTTCTGCCTTCAGACTGCTGGCGTGTGCCTGGTCCTGATCTGTTTTATATCTTCCCCTGGACTCCTGTGAAGGGTAGGGCTGGCTGCTTCTTGGAAAAGTTACTTTGCCTTCTTTCTTCTTCCTCCTCCTAGTCCCTCCCCTTCTCTTTAAGCAAAGTCCCCGTTTACTCTAGGCTAACCTGGAACTCAAGGTGTACCCCAGGGGCAGCTGGAGCACAAGTGCCTGGCTTTTTTTTGCTTTTTGTTTCCTGACAGTTTTACTATAGCTCTGGCTGGCCTGTAATTCATGGTAATCCTCCTGCCTCTACTTTCCAAGTACTGGCATCCCAGGCATGTGCCGCTGCTCCCACCTCTTCGACTACTTTCTTATGAACAAGCACATCTGGAATGTGGACAGGAAGTTTAGGACAGCTCTGGAGTCTTCAAACCCTTTCAATTCCCAGATGCTAACGGAAGGTAAGCCCATTATCCTACAACAGAGATACCAGGAAACCTGTGCCGCTCAGAGTGGGGTCAGCATCAGCACCATCTGGGAACTCCTTATAAACTATGGGGCTCCAGGCTGACATGTCATTCAGCTAGTAGGACGCTTGCCTAGTGCCCAAAATCTCAGCACAGGAGTGGGCTGGAGGAATGAGGAGTTTGAGATCATCCTCAGCTACACGTGGAACATGAGGCCAGGCTGCGTGACAGGACAATGCCAAAACAACAACATTAGCAAAAAAAAACTGTGAGTCCATCCATGTCCTCTCAAGAATAGGGCCAACAACCTTTCTGTTCAAGCCTTCCAGAGAGTTCTGTGACACAAAGTTGAGGGCCTCTGTGGTAACATGAAGCTTTAAAATATCGTGAGAGGTGGGGCATGGTTGAGTATGCTTCATGCCTTTAATCCTAGCATTTGGGAGGCAGAGGCAGGTTTTTTTTTTTTTTTTTTTTTTTTTTTTTGGTTTTTCGAGACAGGGTTTCTCTGTGGTTTTGGAGCCTGTCCTGGAACTAGCTCTTGTAGACCAGGCTGGTCTCGAACTCACAGAGATCCGCCTGCCTCTGCCTCCCGAGTGCTGGGATTAAAGGCGTGCGCCACCACCGCCCGGCCAGGCAGGTAGATTTCTGAGTTCAAGGCCAGCCTCGGTTACAGATGAGTTCCAGGACAGCCAGGGTTACACAGAAAAACCCTGTTTGAAGGGAAAAAAAAAAAACAAAAGACAGTCCCTCATATCGGAGACATCATGAAAGGGCCCTTAAAGGAAAGAATCCTCTATAAAACCCAGAGAGAAGCCTCATTAAGAGAGATAGCTTAAAGAATAAGAGATAAATAGGGTGATGGGGGAAAGCCCAGAAGAGGAGCCTTGAGAGCAGCGGGTTCTCAAGCTGTGGGTCATGACCCATTTAGTAAACCTCTAGCTCCAAAAAATATTTTCATTATGATCCATAGCAGTAGCAAACTTGCCTGGTCTACAGAGTGAGTTCCAGGACACTCAGGGCTACACACAGAGAAACCCTCTCAAAAAAACAAACCAAAAAAAAAAAAAAAAAAAAAAAAACCAAAGTAGCAAAATTACAGGTAGGAAGTAGCAAAGAAAATAATTTTATGGTTGGGGTCACCATACATGAGGAACTGTATTAAAGGTCGCAACATTAGGAAGATTGAGAACCAATGGTGTAGAGAAATGCCCCAAACAGAGCAAAGCATCTGACTGAATTTTAGATCCTTTCAGGGGGTGAGCAGTGGGAAGTTGGACAGCAAGTAATTTAGTTCAATATAATCTGTGACAAGGAGCAGCATGGAAGAGCCAGGTACCGGGTAAGGTATGAACATTCTAGAGCACAGCACGGCACAGCACAGCACAGCACGGCACAGCTTTTCAACTCGCGACCCCTCCCGAGGCTGTTTAACAAAACAGCCATAGAGATTCAAACATAACTACAAGGATGAAATGGATCGATTCCTCAGTGTCTGAGAATATAGGTTCGTCTGGTGTTTTGAGTTATTGTTAGGCAGTACCTCCTGATCTGTTCAAGACAGCTGGTCGGATGACAGCTCCACACACTGTCAGCCTTAGAGCTCGAGTCTCATAGCTGCATGACCAAGTGCAATTATAAACCTCTTAGCCGGATCTAGCATCTTCTGGAGCTCAGGGGAGTCTCATAGCTGCATGACCAAGTGCAATTATAAACCTCTTAGCCGGCTCTAGCATCTTCTGGAGCTCAGGGGAGTCTCATAGCTGCATGACCCAGTGCAATTATAAACCTCTTAGCCGGCTCTAGCATCTTCTGGAGCTCAGGGGAGTCTCATAGCTGCATGACCCAGTGCAATTATAAACCTCTCCACTTTACTGATGCGAACAGCGGCACCCTGTCGGGAAACTGCCCAAGGTCTGTCTGACAGGCACATATCAGCTAGAACGCTCTTGATGCAAGGCATCCACACACCTCTTCTGTGTTCTTTGGGTAGACAAATACACAAGAGAAAAATCACATGCCCATTTAATTAAATGTTTATTCAATGAAAGGATGTATAAAAACTTACAAATCTGAGAACTCAACTATACATATAAGAGGATGATGGGATATTCAGTTTCTAACATACACGGACGGTATAGCTACGCACTATCCCCACCCTTCACCCCTTAGTCCTCGCTTCTGGCTCCTGTTGCATCCTATGAGACCATTTTATTATTGGCCCAAGGGAAGATTAATGGACAACTTTTAATGCTGTTAGGCCAGTGGGGAAAATTTCTGGTGTTAACAAAAATTGGAGAATACACATCAAAATCAATTTGTTTCTTTTTCCTCCAAGAAGAAATTAGATTATTATTATTTTCTCATCCTGATTTCTTTGTCATTTTTGAGGTTTTGGTAGATGTCACCAGTGAACTATGGGCATTGCATTTAAAAAAAAAAAAAAAAAAAACAAAAAACAAGGTCTCTCTATGTAGCCCAGGCTGGCCTCAAACCCCCAATTCTCCTGCCTCCACTCCCCACCCCTCCTCCCATGCTGGGGTTCTGGATGGGCACCACCAAGCCAAGCAACATCACCTTTTACACCCATTACAGTCACCCTTCCCGTTAAGATGCATCTTTCCACGGCCTTGCAGCGCCCACACTGATTTTACAGGTGGCTGGCTGGCGCCAACGCAAGCTCGCAGCTGGCGACTGCTGGGAAGCGGCATGGCATTTGCTGTTCGGGAGGACCGTCTATGGCATCACCAGCTTATGAGAAACCCGAACCCAGCATGTTCCTGTCCAGCATCGGGGGAGGCCTGTGCACCAACTGCCCTGTCTGGAGCAAGCATCCATGCGCTGTTCGTGCGCACAGGGACTCGCAGCCCGTCGGGTTTCATCCAGAAATGAAGATTGCCATCACATTATTACTCCTGCATTGTTCAAGTCGATTTCTAGTGATTTTCCTTAACTGGACATAATCTCAAAGAATACATTCTGAAATCAGACACCTAGAGGGCAAACATTAAAAACATTTTCTTGGGTTTCAAGTTTCCCCACACCTTCTAGATTTGCATAGCAGAGCCCAGCTTTATCTCTAAGAAGCATGCTGTATTTTCTGACTTTGTTTCTTTGAGAAGGAAGACTTATTACCCAGGGACAGTCATAATTTCAGCTTACCAAATTATTGTCTAGTTATTTTATTATATACTCTTAATGATTTCCAAGTAGGTTTTTAAAATAATCTAAAACTTCTCAAAACCTATTTCTTTATAAGTACTACTGACCATTATCCTTCCAATATCCCCTGAATTAAAGTAAATAGAGTCCAGGTTTCTAATGCACAAAGCCTTATGGGGATGGAGAAGGGAGAAGGGGACAGGAAAGGAGTGGGGCCCGTTTGTATCATGCCATAGAGAAACTGTCCCGGGTGGGGGTGGGGGTGGGGAGAAGATTCTTTGTAAAAATGACAGTTTTTAAAAAGACAAATAACATTCAGTCTAGTAACACAGTTTCCTGTTCCTTTTTGATGGATGCTAACACAGGATGGTCAGAGTCAGTTACTTCCGAGTCCCCACTGCCCAGGAGGACCGACCGGCCCTCGTCCAGGGCAAACACGTCTGAGTTCTGGTTCTGGCAGGAGTGTTTGACCACCTCGTTGGGGGTGGAGAATGTCTTGTCGCAGAGGTTGCACTTGTAGGGCTTATTGGCCTGCACCAGCATGTTGTCCATCTGGCTGCCTTCCTCAAAGGTGCAGAGCTCCAGCGTCTGCTTGTCCACCATGGTGTAGGTGTCGATGCTCTGGTTGAGGCACACATGGCGTGCGGCCTGATTGGCCCTGCAGAAGCTCTTGTCACAGGTGCTGCACTTGAAGGGCTTGCCCGTGTGAATGTACATGTGCTCACGCCAGTGGCTTTTCTGGATGAACTTGCGGCCGCAGATGGTGCACTCGTACTTGCGCCTCTTCACCTCGCGCTCCTGGTCGGCCTGCTCCAGGTTGTCAATGTCCGCGATGTCTGAGGGCGGTGGAGTCTCAGACTGCTGCTGCCCGTCGATGATGGGGGAGTCGGAGATGTGCTGCAGCTCGCTGTCGCTGATCATCCCCGCCTCGGGCACTTCCAGGGCATCCTTGCCCAGGTCGGCCGCATTGCTGCAGAGGGACAGGGGCCCGCGGCCTTCCCCCGGAGGGCCGGCTGTGAAGGGCACCCCGGTGTGGATCTGCAGGTGCTCCCGCAGGCTACTGCGCAGCGTGAATCGCCGGCCGCACAGGTGGCAGGCATAGTACTTGGGGAAGCTTCCGTTTCTCTTCATGATGCTTGGCTTCACGTGGGCGATCGTGAGGGAAGAAGGCTGCTCGTCTGAGGAAGAGGCCTCCAAGTTGGTCTCCTCCCCAGGAGGAGGGGGAGGAACGGGTGTGGAGACAAGTTCGGGTGACAACGAGGTCTGCATGGGGTCGGCGGGAGTCATGTTTGTCCGATTTACCTGAGCCAGGTTTGCTGTCAGCTGGGACAGCTGTGAGGTCTCGGGCACCGGTTCCTGGCTCATCCTGGATGCCTGGGGCCTAGGCTCCCGCACAAGCTTCTCAGGCACTAAGTTCATCTTGGTGGCTTGTCTCAGCTGGTGGTCTGCGATTTGAATGCCATACAGTGACGAGGCCAGCGGGAAGACTTGCTCAGGATGGGAAAAGGTGCCTTGGCTGGCCAGGCTGGCTTCCTGGATGAGGGGGTATGCGTGCAGGAATTTGATCCCTTGCTCCAGCCGCACAGGGTCGATCAGCTGCGGGGCCATCTTCCCGGTGTACATCAGGTGGAGCAGATAGCTGAATATGTCAGGCTGTATGTCAGTGGGTTTCAGACGGACACATTCACTGAAAAACAGTAAAAGCCATGAAGAAACACCAACCTATGACTTCAATGGAAACAAAGCCTGAATAACTGAGACACTTGAGAAAAACACTTCCGTGGGTCACTAATCAGGGTGACGGAGCTCCATTAGAGCCTCAGCTCAGAGCTCAGCAGCCCGTGGCAGGTAAGAAAAACCATCTAATCTGACTAGAAAGCCTTCCGAGCTGAAAACTGACGTAGGAGTGATTGCTCAGCATAACAACACAGAAGAGCAGGACACTGAAACTGTTGGAGGTCCCCAGCTCTCTGGGTCCTGCATCCGCTCCAGCAAGGGGGAAGAGAGCCGGTCACCTCCCCAGTGTCGCCAGGCGGCACTGGAAAGCAATCTGGACAATAATTGTATTCACCAGTGATGTCAGCATCGCCAGGGGTCCTGCTGTGGGCTTTACAGCCATTCTACTGCCCACAGTCCTTCCTTTACAGGTGGCGAGGCTCAGGGGTTGGTGAGTGGTAGGACTGGGACTTGAACCTAGGCCTACTTAATTCCAAAGCCACTCTGGCTGTCAAGGTTCCTTTCAGAATGACATCACTTCCCAAACAGCATCCCTCCAATAGCAATAATGAAGACGTGGGGACTCTCCTTAGACCATCGCTACTGAAAGAAGTTCTGATGTATCCTGAGCCCAGTGAGATACACATCTCTGTAGTACAAGAGACATGTGGTATCACCCACAGGGTGAATATAGTTCGGGCATTCAGAAACGGTTTCCTTGATCGCCTTGAAATTTACAATAATTTTATTATATAACTCTTGGCATTAAAGTTCTTTTTGGCAGATTTAGCAATTACAACTATGTTCATTGATTAAAACAACTACCTCACTACTCTCAAATCTTTTTTTTAAAAGATTTATTTATTTATTATGTATACAACATTCTGCCTCAATGTATGCCCGCACGCCAGAAGAGCGCGCCAGATCTCAGTACAGGTGGTTGTGAGCCACCACGTGGTTGCTGGGAATTGAACTCAGGACCTCTGGAAGAGCAGCCAGTGCTCTTAACCTCTGAGCCATCTCTCCAGACCTACTCTCAAATCTTAACAGTATACCCAGACTTCTAAATATAACATCTTATTTTGTTAAAATAAAAACAGATGAGCCTGGCATGATGTATATAAACCCAGCACACAAGAGGATGAGGCAGGAGGACTGTCTGAACGTCAAGGCTAGCCTAGCTACAGTGTGGACACTAAGGAAAAAGAGGTCATAGTAAAACAAAAGAGAAAAGGCTAATTTGATTTTAAGACTCACTTCTGACAGGACAGAGATGGATAATTACTGGATAGGTATCGAAGTGGATTTCATGAAGACCTGAGACTCCATACGACAGTCACACTTAACTACAAACACCCAAGTCAAACAGTACAGGCAGGCACACAAATCAGTACCCATGGGAAATTCGAGCCTGATACTGTTTTCTTAAAACAAAAAACAAACAACAAAAAACAAAACAAAAAAAAAACCCAACCCTGTCTCGATAAACAAAAACAAAAAAAGAAAGAAAAAACTTAGATTGCTCATCATCGTTAATCTCTCTCTGAGACAAGGTCTTCCTGTGTATCCGTGTAGATCAGGCTAGCCTGGAACTCACAGAGATCCACTTCCTGCCTCCCAGTGATGGAATTAAAATTGTGCACCACCACTGGCAGGATCAGGCAGAGATCTCGGGAACTCAGAACCCTAGGCCTTCAGAGAAGGGGATTTCTCCAGGGTAATGAATGTGATCCTCCAGAGAGGATGGAAATGCAGATGGGCTCCCTGCCAGCATTCACAAAGGTGCCACCCACCCAGCTGGGGTGCTTTCCACAAGGGCTTTGCAGTCCTTCCCTGTGGCTGAATAGGTCCTGGAAGGAGCGCTGAGAAAACACGGGACTGGTTAGCCCTCTCTTTTTCTCTACCCCCGGGACACGACAAGGCCCGGCTGTCGCGTCGCCATCTTCTCCAGTACGCACCGACACCCGTCTGCACTTCTGCGGGAGTGGGAGCGCGGCCACACACTGCTGCGCGGGTGCTCCGAGTAATTTCGGGTTCAGTCTCTCCTTCATTGGAATTTTAGAATAAGAGTTTTAAATAATGCTTAAACTTTTCTGTTTCTGAGGCAGGTTCTCATATGTAGACCAGGATGGTCCTGCGCTCGCACAGATCCACCTGCCACTGCCTCTAGAGTGCTGGATTAAAGGCGTGTACCACCACACTCAGCAGCTTATTCTTAGCATGAGGTTGTATGTTTGAGCACTTAGTCTACAGAGAAAAGACAGAGACACCTAGTGGTAACTATAGGACATGGACTGTTCTCAAGCTGAAAAAATCCAGTTGGGCTCAGTTTGGCTAGAGGGGGAACAAGTGCCTCTGCCAGGCAGGACGAGCTGGTCTCTGCTCTGCTTGAGACAGTGAACTTGACTTCTCCACATAGAGATGTACCAGGAGAGTCATCAGGTGGGTGTACTCAGCTACAAAGCATAGTGACAAAAAAAAAAAAAAAAAGGGAAGGGAAAGTGGGCACCTTTCGGTGGGCCCTGCCAACATATGCTACCGAGCAAACATGGCATGAGAAACAGTTAGTGCGGGGGGGGGGGAGTGAGAGGGTGAAGGCCTTATCGGAGTGGGGGCACGAGAGAGGCAGGCAGACAGAACAGGGAAGAGGCAAGATGAAGAGAGGCAAGAGAGGAACAAGAGGCAAGAGAGCAAGCTGTGCCTGCCTAGCGGGCACTTTTAAGGGGTGCACATGTGGCGTAGCTGATGGTGGAGAGGCACTTGGTGACAGGTGACGGTGGTGTGACCGCCCTGGCAGCAGAGAGACAGGCTGCTGCCATGGCACAAACTAGCACAAAATCACATCCCTGTGATAGAGTAGGTTTGGCGGTCCTGGATCTCACTGTAGACCAGGTTGATCTCGAACTCACAGAGATTGCCTTCCTCTGCCTCCCGAGTGCTGGGATTAAAGGGTTACTCGAGTCTCACCACCCAGCCAGACATTTCTTTTTCAAGGTCATTTAACAAACTGTGTTGAGATTAATGGCTGCAAATAACATCTTTATCATAATAATGGTTTTAAAGGTGGTGAACATATAAACAAATTTGTTTTCAGAGAGGGTCTTGGCTGGTCTAGATCTGACAACTTTTTCTTTATTTTTTTTTTTCTTTTTTCTGAGACAGGGTTTCTCTGTGTAGCTTTGGAGCCTGCCCTGGAACTCGCTTTGTAGACCAGGTCGGCTCACAGGGATCCCACCTCTCTGTCTCCCAAGGACCCAACAGCTCTCTGGCCTCAGCCTCTAAGAGCTGAGATTACAGGACTGCATCTTACGTGCCCTGCTTAAAGGACACGTTTTCAGTGCTGGAAGACAAATGCTCTTTCTTACTGCCAAGTCACCTGCTCCTGGCCCTTCTGCTCCTCCAGATGTTTATCAAGTGGCTATTAGAAGCACACACCTAGCCTTACCCTGTGGTGTCCCAGGAGATCTGTAAAACTCACTGCTCTGCCACGCACGACCAGAGGGTGGGGCGGGGCCGGGTGAGTAGACAGTGATTTACAGGTGGGGGAGGGGAGAGTACACAGATAGTCATGTAGAGGAGGTGCTGCTGTAAGCAGAACACAGTCATCCTTGAAGATTCTGTCTACTTGACTAGGAAGAAGGCAAGGATTAGGGACATCAGGGAATGGGCAGGACACTCAGAAAGTTTGGTTCAGGTGAATAAGCCACAAAAGCAGGCAGGTCAAAGAGAAGATGGTGTCCCAGAAGTGCTAAGGTGATAAGGGTCAGGCTTCAAGCCCAAGTGTCCCACTCCCAGGAGCTTAGACAGCCAGCGCCTTGCTGTGCAGAGGGATCTGCTCAGTTTGTCCTCTCCTAAATTCTGGTCAAAGGCATGCCTCACCCAAGCAGTCTTCCAAACTGATGTGGGAATGAATACTTACAGGATGGGAGGAAGAAAGGAAGGACAGAGCACATGCGACATGTATTGAAGAGATATGATCTGAAATAGATCCGAAGCTTGGGCTTCTTAGAGGTAAGAACATAGGCCAGCTAGGGCTTTTCTGGGGAAGAGCCTATCCAGTTTTATCCATGTCCAACGAGAAAAACGGAGTGGGAACAGCTGGGGGCGGGGCACTGAGGACCAGGTTCTGCAGACAGAAAGATGGAGGCTGGAGCTGCAAAGCCGGAAAAGATGACCTGCCCACCACAGACAGTGTGCAAGGACAGCAGGGGCTCAGGAGCCCAAGGTCCAGCACAGAGGTGAAGAACAGGGACATTAGGTCACAGGTGAGGACTGGGGAGAACAGGAGGATGGACGGCAGTGTTCGGGGGGAGAGGTGCCCTGTGGGGTGACTGCTGCAGTGAGACAGGAAACCACAAATGGACAGGAAGAGTGTGGGGTGAGCAGACAGGCGCAGGGGCCTTTTAAGAAGGTTCAAGGAGAACAGAGAACAGGGCTGCACTCCAGGAGCCACAAGGTCAAGGAAGGTCTTCTGCCCAGACAGGGGTGGGGAGGGGAGAGAAGAGAAATGGAGAACAGAATAAAATAGAGAATTGTGAGGAAGGGAGGGAGGGAGGAAGGAAGGGAGGGAGGGAGAGAGGGAGGGGGAGATGATGATTATTATTTTTTTACACACCCAGAGATTCTTTTCTCTGAGAATCTCATTTAGGAGAAATCAAAGGAAAACAAAACAAAAACCATGAGGGCAAAGACAGATTTTACAGTAGAGAGGAGGGGAATGGAATTTGCGCCCTCCAGCTTCTCACCTGAAACTAAGTATTCAAGGCAGGGTATTTAGGGGACTCTCGGAGGAGCAGGCAGGCTTACTAACTGAGGCCACAGAGGCCCTGGCTGTCACTGCCAACCACAGGTGATCCCCACACAGAAGGCAGTTTGGAAGGGGCGGGACCGCATGGAGCCAGGTGTGCAGGTGATTCTCACGTGCTAATGAAGAGAATAACCAAGAAAGGCAGGGAACAGGTGGACTAACAAAGGAGTGGGGCGGGCACCTAGACCCTAGGGAGAGGCAGAGAGACAGTGGTCTGGATGAAGCCAAGAGTGTGCTCAGTGGGAAGAGGGACCCAGAGTCAGGAGGTCTACAGTCATTAGATATTATCAACCGCTTTAGTTACCTGGTCTGATGGACAAACAACATCTTAAAGTAATTGGAGAATGAAGCAAGAACTGATTTGTGTGCCTTGAAGTACACATCGCCGATTGCAACCGTGCAGTCACACAGGAACCCAAACTCGCGCTGAGCGTTTAACTGCTGCAGTAGAATAAGTCCATGGTTGGTCAAATCCATTTTTTAAAAAATCTGCAAAGTAAACAATTTCATTTTTAAGAGCGGTGTTCCACAAATGAGAATGTGTCCTAACGCTACAGAAATGTCCACAGCTAACATGTCACAAGGTTAACGCGTCAGGCACTGGTAGACAGGGCACAAATATCAACTCATTTAATCCACACAGTCCTTGGCATAGGGCCTGCCAGCACTCGGGTTTTCAGGTGACGTCACTCTGAGGGGAACTCAGAGTGACTTGTGGAAGCTGGGGAAAGACCCGAGTAGTGTACCTCAGTCCTAGAAAGATAAATGCGTACTACCTAGTCCTTTAAAGTCCTTTGAAGATTCCCAGTGAGAATTCCACCACGGAAGTGCCGGGCGCAGAGTCACAGTAAGGCTCCTCCTTCACCCAGCCAGGGCCACAATGGCTTGCAAATCCATTAGCTCTGGAGCTGGGCCTCCCTTTTGTGGAGGAGGAAATGGATTTTGAGATTTGTAAATTGCCCCAGGCCTTTCACTGGGAAGGCAAAGGAGTTACAATTTAAATTTGAATCACCTACTTCAAATCCTGTACTTTCCATTATTCAGTCAGTGAACAAAATCCTCGACCTCTCTGTTTACAGTGAGAAGCTGCAAGAACCTGCCGTGTTCACGAAATCCCTAGATGGCTCTTTTTCATAAGCAAACAGGAAAGCCCACCCCAGGGATCAGCATGGCTTTCTCTGAGACTAGGGCGAGGCGAAGAAATGAACCCTTTCCCTCCTGTGGCACCCAGACTGTGAAGCAGGAAACCAAAACAAGATGGGAATGAAGGTCTACAGCCAGGTAAAGAAGGAATAAACCGATAATACACAGAATTCAGGGAATTAATGCAACAGCTTCTATAACTAACAATTTGGTAAGGTGTAAAATGTATCAAAAAACAAAACCCCAAACCCTACCTAATTGTAATTTCATATACTAGGAATGAACATGGAAATGAGACACACCAATCATTACAATCCAAATAATGAAATCCACAGGCAAACCTAACAAAATATGTAGGGGTTATACATGGAAAAAACACAAGCTGCTGAATCCCAAATCCTTGGCAAGATTTCTTTCTGAAGGCAGACAAGACTGTTTGAAAATGTGTGGAAGGCAAAAGAAGTAGACTAGGTTTCTCGGAAAGAAAGAAAAGGTGGGAAATTGGTCCCTCGACTCGCCCCAGATTTGAGAGTGGCCCAGCATTCGAGCCTGGGATCGGATGAGAAGAGATGGACATTACTTCAGTAGAGCCTGGAACTGGTGTCCCAGGGCAGCAGAACCGCAGCACGGACAGCTGGACGCCAAAGGCGAGTTCCACACTCTCACACACTGAAAATGCACCGCGGGCTTCAGCATAAAGCACACAACTACAGGAAATTTAGAATAAAAAATAAAACCCTTAGGGATCAACAAAAGGAGAAACTGGTAAAGCTGGACTTGGTAAGTAAAATTACAAGCGCTGGTTCTGGAACAGTTCAGCTAAGAGGATGGACAGGGAATGAGGACTGGGAGGAGACACCTGAAACCCACAACTCCTCAAGTGTCTGTACTTGCAAAGAAGAGAACTTGGAAAGTCAACAGTACGGATAAACCAGAAGTGAGACATACTTGCAGGGAAAGACAGATGGTCAGTGGACAGACATGTTCAGGATTCCAGCCCCAGGGAAGCAGGGTCAGCACACACTCATGGGGGTAGGGGGTGGGGGATGGGACCGTGAGATGGCACAGACAGCCTGGAGACTACATACAACCCAATGGCTACTGATACATTTATTCCAATAAACGAATGTGCTTTTACACAAAACTGTACATTAACATCTGTAGTGGCTGTGACCAGAAACTGCCCAGCTCTCCTTTACTTGTTGAATGGTCAGGCTGTGGGATGAACCACTTAGTCACTGCAAGGGATGAGCCACCGTGACCTTGGGGGCAAACACACCAATCCCAACTCTCCAAAGGCTGAGGTGGGAGAACTGCGAGTTTGAGGCCAGTCTGGGCTACGGTGAGACTGTTTCCAGAACAAAAACAGAACAGAACAAATGAACTATTGTAGACAGAAGATATACTGTATTGGGAGTGAATTACGTCAGGGAAGGTTTCATGCTGAGTCCTTTGCTGTAACACCCATGGAGTCCAGAGAAATGGAGAACACACTTGCAGTGCTAAGGTGAGGGGAAGCAGGTGGCATTGCTACAAAAGGGAACCTGAAGGATACCTGGGGCGACAGAAGTGTCCCATAGATGATGTGTCAATGCCGATATTTTAGTGGGCATACAGCAGCCCCGCCCACAGAGGGTCACCTAACTGATTGTGAGGGGCACAAAAATGACGGTAACAAAGCATTTCTCAACCCCGTCAGCCGCGAGGCAGGACTTCACCACAGCAGAGTGGGAGTGGGGGTCTGGCTTCATAGCACGAGCACCCTGTACCCTGTACGTGTCTGTGGTGTCTGCAGCGCCTCTGCAGACGCACGTGATGCTTTCTGCTTCACAGCAGCACAGTGCTCTAATCAAGGAAAACAGGATCTAGAATGTTTTCCTGCCAGGCAGAGGGGCGCACACCTTTAACCTCTGCACTCGGGAGGCAGAGGTGGGCGGATCTCGGTGAGTTCAAGGCCACTGGACTGTTAGTAAACTTTAGAAAGCCAGACTGTAAAAAAAAAAAAAAAAACGCTACACAGAGAAACACTGTCTTAACCCCCAACAAACAAGCAAACAACCCCCCAACAGCTGTTTGAGTGGCTGACTTGACTTTCACTAAAAAAAAAAAAAAAGAAAAATCATTATACAAATTTTACCTTGAAATTATGACAAAATTTCCAATAAGTGTTGAAATGAGCCTACACCTACTTCTGCCATTTTTCACTCTGTACTTATGTGAAATGGTGTTCTCGGCACTGACAACCATACAGTCAAGATACTGATGAGCTAACTCTGAAAAACACCCAAGATGCTCAACCTCCTGCAGTATCAGAGCCAGACCAGCTCAGGGTTTCTCCTGGTCGATGACAGGGCCGCTGATCGTGGGGTGTTCACTTCACTATTGATATCCTCACGTGCTGTCGTGTTCACTATTGATATCCTCACGTGCTGTCGTGTTCACTATTGATATCCTCACATGCTGTCGTGTTCACTATTGATATCCTCACATGCTGTCGTGTTCACTATTGATACCCTCACGTGCTGTCGTGTTCACTATTGATATCCTCACATGCTGTCGTGTTCACTATTGATATCCTCACATGCTGTCGTGTTCACTATTGATACCCTCACGTGTTGTTGTGTTCACTATTGATACCCTCACGTGCTGTCGTGTTCACTATTGATATCCTCACGTGCTGTCGTGTTCACTATTGATACCCTCACGTGCTGTCGTGTTCACTATTGATACCCTCACGTGCTGTCGTGTTCACTATTGATATCTCACGTGCTGTCGTGTTCACTATTGATATCCTCACGTGCTGTCATGTTCACTATTGATATCCTCACGTGCTATCATGTTCACTATTGATACCCTCACATGGTATCGTGTTCACTATTGATACCCTCACGTGCTATCATTCTATTTCATGCTAATGAGATATTTGTGGTATAGTTACTTATAAGTGAGGATGTGGCACAAGGAGGTAGGCAGCCTGCTCAGATGCCAGAACAGTAAGACCCCTGTACATTGGCATTCTTTTCGTTAGTGTTGGGGGGAACCTGGGGCTTGGCGCACGCTGTAAGAGTTCTTACTGAGTCACACCGCCCAAGATCTGCACGCCTACTTTTCTCGGGCTCTTTCCCTATGATATGAGTGATATTTAATGTGAAACATATTTACGGGCTGGAGAGATGGCTCAGAGGTTAAGAGCATTGCCTGCTCTTCCAAAGGTCCTGAGTTCAATTCCCAGCAACCACATGGTGGCTCACAACCATCTGTAATGGGGTCTGGTGCCCTCTTCTGGCCTGCAGGCATACACACAGAGAATATTGTATACATAATAAATAAATAAATATTATTAAAAATTTGTTTGTTTGCTCTAGCGTCTCTTTGCAAACTTTAATTCATTTTACTCCCTTTTTAAAATAAAATGTAGACCACCAAGTGATGGCCGTGAGCACTTTTAGTTCTAGCACTTGGGAGGCAGAGGCAGATCTCTGATTTCAAGACCAATGTGGTCTACAGAGTGAGGTCCAGGACGCGAGGGCTCCACAGAGAAACCCTGCCCTGGGAGGAAAAACAACAACAGCTCACCCTGCAGTAGATATGCTAATCAGTTACAACTTTTTGTTTCTGGAGACTAAAACATTTTTCTGACAGGAAAAAAAAAGACAAAATACCTAGAACATTCCACAGGGGAAGTCACTTGGGACAGGTGTGAGAGGCGGCACTTCTGGGTGCCTTGCCCAGGGGACAGAGGGTCTTTTCTCTGCTGCGCCCCTCTCCTTCCCCAGGCACCCATATTATTCCATGAAGCTCAGCTGACACAAATGATACTTAGCTGTGTGGGTGATAAGGCTACCCCCGCTTCAGAGGAAAGCCTGCCTCCTCTTCCCACCACAACCAGCCCCTGCCATCTGCTAGCCAAAATGGCTTAGCAAGGTCCTGAGAGACCGTCCCGGGCAGTGTAGACTCACGAGCACATGTGCCCCTGGGGCCCTCTGAGTGGCACGGCCCACCCTTCTTCCTTGTAGACAAGCCTTTCTCTAGAAATGGCTGTCTCTTACCCCCTCTGGCACTGCTCTGAAGCAGGTCCACATTCAGTGTCCTGTCTGTGGCGCGTGTTCGCTTCTACCCTTGAAACTCGAACCTGTGTAACACCACCCACAATGAGGACCTGAGCACAACCTGTGGAGAGGGCCCCGGCTGGGGGCAGGGCAACACTCTCCATCCACCTTCTGACTAGCCCTAGCGCTCTCTACCAGGTCAGCCGGACCCTCCCTCCCTCCGGCTCCACCTCCCCAGTCATCACAGGACAGTGATCCCTCCAGAGGACAAATGTGACCACAGTTCCCTGGCCATGG